GGGTTGGACTAGATGGCCTCAAAAGGTCCCTCCCACCCAAACCCTCCTGATTGTCTGATCGTTCTGTGATTCTACACCTCTGGCAATATACAGAGGAACCACGCGTCATTCCAAAGTCTCCGCCAACCTTTCACCCGCCGCGACATTAAGTCGAGGCCTTTTTGGGAACAGCCAACAGGTGAATTGCTAAAGAGACGGTCGAAAAAGCAGGAGAAAGGCCCCGTGGGTCAGTAGGCGCAGCACAGAAGAGATGCCCAAGCAAATCTGGCTGCAAAAGCCTCAACTTCCCCTTTGTTCTGACCCTGCAGCCGACTTTAATGTCTGTAAAAGGTGACACTATTAATATAATGGTGCGAAAATAAATCCGTCGGCTTATCCTGCCTACAAGGAGTCTCAGCTTGAACCAGACTTACCAAATACGCCACAAAGGACAGGTAGATCACGCTGAGGATTCCAGCCCCGATGTACAAAGCCAGGTGGTTCAGGGACATGACATAGGTCACCACGAAGTACATGTTAATGCTGCAGATCAGGAAGATCTGCACGCCGCCAGTGATCTTCCAGAACCTGCGAGCAAAATCCGAGCAAAACGGGGTGAGGCGGAGGGGCCGCTCTTGCGGTCGGAGGAGATGGCCGAGGCGAGGAGAGGAACGAAACGTGTGCCGGAGGCGAGCGACACGCCGTCTCCTGCTCGGAGGCGATTGCCTTCGTACTTACAATCCGTTGGCAAAATCGTTCATGACACTGGGCAGGCTGGTGAATGTCAGGACAGGGATCAAAGCGAACGGAAGCTGGAATAAAGCAAGAAAATAGAGAAGTAAATGAAGAGCGGAAATTGTTGTGATTGTCTCAGCACGGACAAACGTCCAAGGCTTGCTCCTCTCTGACAGCATTTCCCCAAAGCTATTGTAAAGCGAGTCAAAGGGACTTCCCCTGGCTGGAAGAAGGAAGCAATTTCAGACCCTGGGACCTCCTGATGGTAACTCGCTCTGCTCAGCGGCTCCTGCAAACCCTGAGGCACCAGAAGCTGAAATATTCAGTGCTAGATGTTGCTCTCCTCGGCCTCACCCCCAAACCGGGTACTGCTGCTCACCTGGAGGCTCATAAGAACATTTAAGAAGTCGTTCATGCCGGTCAGGTGTTCGACGTCCTGAAAGATGGCAACGAAGAGGGTGGGGGTGATGGCGATGGAGCGGGTCAGCAGCACCCGGGCAAAACGGGACCACCGCAGGTTCAGGAAGCCCTGCAGAAAAAACCAGAGCCGCTGCGGGTGAAAAGGGCAAGGAGACACCAAGGGCAGCAGGAAGAGGGGGGCTCAGGGCAGGATCAAAAGCTGATTTGTTTGAAAGGCACACCAGGGAGTTTTCTGGAGCTTCCAGCAAGAGCTGCGTGTCCAAGGAAGGGGAATCATCAATATTGGCTCTAAAGGCTCAGGAGCAGAGAGAACAGGGATGCAGGCAGCCGCTCAGAGTGCTAATTACCTCCATGACGAACTGCCCGGAGTAGGTCCCCGTCATCGTTGAGCTCTGGCCGGCAGCGAGGATCCCGATCGCCCAGATATAGAGAGCAGCAGGGCCGAAGTAACAGCCCAGAACGACGCCCTGGAACAGAGATTTGCAGTCTCACGTCAGCTCAGTCCCATGTCTGAGAGCGGGAATAAGAACGAGCGGGCGAATTCCCTTGTGGCCAGATGAACCACGGGCGCTGAGTTGGAAGAGAAGCAATAATCCATGTGCAGGAGAGGGAAAAGCCTTCCCCACGCCGGCAGCAGATAAGGCGATACCCCACGGGCTGCAGTTTTAACAAAGCAGGTTCAGGATGGATGCGAGGGAAAACTGTGTCATGTCCAAGCTAATAAAAGAGGGAGCAGAGGGACGGGGAGTCTCCGGGGTCAGGTTAGACGCGGGACGATGAGCAAAGGGATAGATAATTTTTCTTGGTCAAGGGGCCGGGCTCGAGGATCCCCAGGGGTCTCCTCCAGCTCCGTTTCCGGCGATCCCGTTACGGGTCCCGGCTTCAACACTCTCCGTTTACCCAAAAGCAACGGCCGCTAACAGAGAAGGACGCCAGGCTGGCGGGGACGAGGCCACCGCGCCCCGCGGGTCACTCACCCCTTTGTAGATATCCACCTCCAGCGTCTTGTTGTTGTTTGGGAAGAGCGAGGTGTGCGGGCTGCTGGCGTTCACGCAGACGCCGTTCTGCAACGACACGAAGGGGCGGGAGGTTGGGTTTGCTCAGCGAGAGAGAAGCGAGGACGAGCGGAAAAGGCCGCAGACGAGGAGCAGCGGGTGCTGGAGGTCCCAAGGTGCTGGGTGCCTCTCCAGGCTGGTTTAAACGGAAATAATCGGCATCCCTGTTCTTTTTTTCCCACTTTAGGCACAGAATATACGGGCTCTGCTTGACCCAGGGCACTGATACGGCTCGGAGCGGCCCCTCCGCTCACACGGTCCCCGTTACTGCTCCAACGGCTCCGCGAGGAGCGGAGTCCCAGCCCCAACTCACCACATCCGCGTTCGTCTTTTCAAAGAAAGCCTCGGCAAAGACGGTCACAACAAAGATGTTAATGATGAAGGAGACAAAGAGAGCGATGCAGGACTCGATGAAGAAATACTTATTAGCTTCTCGTACTTCCCTCTTGTTTGCACGGTTCACTTGCCGGGACTGAAAAGGGGATGGTGACAACAGCAGACTTGAGAAACAGGAATTCGCTATTGTATTACTTATACCTGTAATTATTAAACTGACAGTGGGAACACGCTGGAGGGCATGAAAAGCAAACCTCAATATTTGCAGAACGAGCACTGGCCGGTTCTGCCAGCGTGGCAGCGCTCGCCGCGAGACGCACGCTTCTGGTCCTACATCCACACGTAAAGGACGCGTGTCCCAAAGCTCTCGCGGCTTCCCCTGAGCCCGGGACCCAACCAGCCTCCTTCAGGGGGTTTGCCACGTCCCCGCCGAATTAAATGCTTCAAGCAGACTGCCAGAGGCTGCTCGAGTCTTTCGGGCCTCCCAGCGTGCCATCGCCGTACACGCTTTCTACGTTAAGCGGCTCAGCCGCGTACCTTGACCAAGGCGGAGTGCAGGTACATGTTGTGCGGCATGATAACGGCGCCCACGATTCCCACGGCTTGCTCCAGCTGGGTCGTGCCGCAGTTCTGGCAGTACGGGACGAACAGCCCTTTTAGCAGCTTCTCCTGGTTGGGTTTTACGGTGATATACTGGGCACAGAGAGAAAAGAAACACGGGCGTTTAGAGGGTGACGCGCGTCGCACGGCTGCCCGTTCGAAGAGACTCGCAAGGCAAAACGTGGCCGTTTTGGTAAAAAAAGCCAAACCACAACGTGGCAACCGTCTGCTGTTTGATAAAAACTGGGGATGCTGCGCTGAGCGGTACGTGCTGGTCTCCACGTCGGAGACGCCGCGCTCAATACAGCCCACGCTGCTGGCCAGGGTCCGAGCCGCACATCGGGAACACAGACCCGGCCTCAAATGTCTTTATTTTCAAGCGTTTTGGTGCTGTTTGGGCACGGGAGCAGTGCCGGGGGGAGAGGGAACACGTCACCAAACAGCGCTGGTGGAAGCGCAGAGAGAGACGGTGAAGTTACCTCGTAGCCAAACGTTAGAGCCATGATGGTAATCAGAAACCCAAAGAACGCTTCCAGTTTTCGCAAGCCTGCGAGAAGGAAAAGGACCACCAGCAAACTGAGAAAAGCTGATTTAAAAATCTCAGATTTAGTTTCTGGAATTTGGGAGGAAAAATTACCGTATTTGTCCAGGAAGAGAAACACGAACGTGTCAGCAATGGTGATGAGCACGCCGCCCCACAGCGGGATCCTGCGAGAGACGGGCACGAGCAGGCATCAGCTTACAAGCCACTTCCACCTCGACCGCCAGCCACGACGCTTCAGCGTCCAAAATCTCTTTTTCTTTAGGGCACTTGTTTGGGGATGGAACCGCATTGTCCAAGGGTTCGTTTGCAGTCTGACGAGACGTTTGACTGCACGGGGCAAGGGAGCGTGGGTTTGTTCTCTGCACAAACAGCTCGGATACGAGCTCTCTCCCGGAATCTCGAGAGCAAATCCCACGTCCACACTGGGAATGACAGGAGCGAGCGAGATTTTTAATAGCCACTTGGTACAAAATTGTAGCTTCCTGCTACGTTTGTATTTCCAACCTTCCTGGCCAACGAGGACATCTTTCTGGTAGTCCTTTATTAGGAACATAAAATTTGCCAGGAAAGCTGCAGCCCAATTTTGGCGTGTATCAGTTATAGCTCAAATAAAGCCAGAACTCGCAGTTCTCCTTATAGCCCCCCAAAAAACAGGCACCAAAGGCTGAGTCATCTAAGAGAGCTAGCACAGCTTCGATGAATCACCCTGCACAAAGAGCTTATTTGGGAAGATTTATAGGAAATAAATGAGCCTTTTTCGGCACACACGGTGTCACTTTCTTAATCCTAGAGGGGAGCACTCATTTCCTGCTGCCCTCTGACGACAAACCCAACTTACTTCCCCACAGACAGGAGGTTAATAGCAATCGCCGAGCCAATGACTTCTTGCATATCGGATCCAATGATAGCGAGTTCGACCATCAGCCACAGGATAATCCGAGGAACCTAGAGGTAAAGAAATATCCAAGACCATTAAAAAGAGGGAAAACGTCTTCTCCCTTTAATTTCCTAGATGAGCACGGGGCGGCGGCGAATGTGCGTTCAGGAACGGTCTGCGTTCCCCGACTGCGGTGTGGAAAACACGTTGACGATCGCCACTTGAAGGCCGGTCCAGAGCAGAAATCCAGGTCACCTGTGGCAATCACTGGAGGAGGCTCCCGGGTCACTTATATAACCCGACTTACGCGCCTCAATACATTCCGCTGGTTGCGAGAGGGAGACTGGATGTTTCTGTGTACCGGGGCGTTGGAAATGAGCATCGGAAGA